GGTGTGCCTGGTCCAGCTGTTCTGTTTTCAAGGTGTGCATGTTCCTGCTGTTCCTGACGTGCTCCTTTGGCTGCCTCTCTCCCCAGGTGATCGAGGACAACACGGGCGTTCGGAGGGTGGTGGTGACGCCGCAGTCTCCGGAGTGTTTCCCTCCCAGTTACCCCTCGGCCATCTCACCAACCCATCACTTACCCCCCTACCTGGCACACCATCCCCACTTCATCCACAACTCCCACACGGCCTTCTACCCTCCTGTCACTGGACCTGGGGACATGCCACCACAGTTCTTCCCGCAGCATCATCTTCCCCCAACAATATACGGAGAGCAAGGTGAGCTGGGAGGAAGGGATGGCCTTTCATGCTTCTGTTCAGCAAGTTTTAAGGGCTGGGGGAACCAAGAGTAGGAGTGAAGTGGAGAACTTGCACAGTGGCTTTGTTTCATAGATGGAGCCCCCTTTTATATCCAGAGCAGTGGGGCTGTAACTATCCAGAGTATCAACTTTTATTTTGCCAACAAACACAAAACTGTTTTGGGCATGAATATGTTCAAGGTTCACAATCAAAGCAAAGCACAAAAAGGAGGATTGAASTATAGAGAAAAGCAGGAAATACTGTGATTCCTGCAAGCTGACCTGATTAGTTCAAGATAGAGTCATCCTTGGAGGGGGGAAGTGGGGATTGCATTTAATGAAGTGTATCTGAAGAGTGCACGTGATATTTATGATAATTCTCAAACTTTCTTTAGGTAGTTTTAATTCCCAAAGCTTCTACTTCATGTTACACTTCTTCTCTCCTTAGGCAGCACAACTGACATGATTGTAAAGTCTATTTGTACTGGGGAATTAAATTGCATGTAATCAGGGTTGTCAGCTTGAAACCAGCACATCTCAGCTTGTTCTGTCCAGTCAGGCCCTGAGGAAGAAAATGCTAAATTGCTCTGAACTTATGGAGGCTTTTTCCAAAAGTTCAATTCCCCCTGGATTTTTGCTTGAAATCYGTGTCCCTGAAATTCAAAGACTGAAAAGAAGGGGGAAAACTATCACCCTAATTGCTGTATTTTACACRCCCATCCAAAGTAAAATTCTATTGTCAAAGGAGCAGAGTTAATACAAAAAAATTGCAGAATAGTGTTTTCTCAAAAAAATCTCCAGAAACATCTGATGTAATTTCATTTGGAGATTGGCAGGGGGAAAAAAAAAACTCGGTGATTTTTGTATCTCTAAATTAACACGGGTGAACCGTTCCGTTTCAGAAATCATACCACTATACGGGATGTCCAGCTACATCACCAGGGAAGATCAGTACAGCAAACCACAGCACAAGAAACTGAAAGACAGGCAGATTGACCGCCAGAACCGCCTCAACAGCCCTCCCTCGTCCATCTACAAGAGTCACCTGGGCAGCTGCACCACGGTGTACAACGGTTACGCCAAGAGCCACAACGGGGCCACCAGTGGCAGCGGCGCCCCAACCCTCAAGAAACCCGAGCGCAGAGCCAGGAGCAGCCCAAAGTCCAGTGAGCAAGACCCACATGGTAAAAAGAGGGTTTTGTTTATTTTTAATTGATTTTTATTGCCCCCTGTCCGGCTCGTGACACGCTCTGTGTGCCAAGAAACGCTCCCACCCGCGCGTCGAGGCGGCGTTGCAAACTTAAACACGAGCGCTGGGCTGGCTGAGCTGGGTTTGTTTTGCAAGGTGAGCCCAGTGCCTCCCCAGCTTTCCTAAATACTCCCTTGGTAGATGCAGCACCATTCCCTTTTTATCTGTTGGAAGCAGAAATGCATTTTATGGGCAAGGTTTTAGTTTTATCTTGCTTTTCGGAGAGGCGTCTTGGCACTTGGCAAAAATCTTCAACCATATCTTTAACCAAATCTGACTATTGGGTGCTAGGTAAACCTAGTAAAGTTACTACAAAGTTTGGAGGTGATAGCTGAAAAACCAAGAGTTCTTTTTAGTGTAAGTTATATTAGCTGAAAACAAAGAAAACTGAGAAGAAATTCYTTAATGCTAGCCATTGGAAATAGTAGTCAAGTCATTCTGAGTCTTCAGTTTTCAGAGACTTGCCATTTTAAAATTTAAAACTTTACATGAACAACCCAATGTGTTGCTTTAATCAAATCTCATTTATTACAAGCCATTCTGCACACATCCTAGTTCTACCTAAATTTAGTTTAATAGTTTGTTACAATCCCTTGTAAACCTGCTTTTCTCTCTGCCTGTCTCTGCTGAGTGCTACAGCAGCAGCTGCCTTAAACTGTGATGTAGTAACCAAACTTACACCCAGTATGTGTAAGGATATTTATAATGGAGCATACTCTGAAATTTCCTGAGTGAAGTTATGCATATAAAATAGGTTTTTTCATTATCTATCCATAGTGTATATTTATATGGCTCTGGACTGAAAAGAAATCTATATGAAAATTAACTGTATCAATAGGCAAAGAGTGGGGGAAAATGCTGCTGGCATGGTAAGGAATGAGGATTTGCAGACGTGCTTCAGGGTCTTTAGAATTAGCAAGGAACTGTATTTGGGAATGCTGTAATCCAAGAAAATGAATCAGTGCTTTAGATTTTCTAGTTATTTCTTGCCAATCAGCTTATGTGAACTTTAGTGTTCTTATTTATGTTTAGGTGTTTGTCTGGGGTGGAATACCTGAGGTGTTTGAAGCACGTGTGTGAATAAACAATATTCATACCATATAGGTTCAGTGGGTACTGGCAGATCACTCCTGAAATAATCTAAAATCATTTAAAAGCATCTTGTCTAAGGGTTTCCTGCAGCCCTTGTGTTTGTCTGATTTGGTGCCTTGGAATAGGAGAATTTTATTCATACTAAAAGAAAAAAAAACAAAACGTAACTGTGGGCTTAAATGTGAGATTTTTGGCATCAAAATGTGTTATTTTAGTCRCACATGYATTTGTATATACAAATTTYTACAGAAGRGCCACAGAGGTTTCTTCAAAGCTCWCACCAAGCAGCCCCCTAAAATAAGCTCCCACTAGGTATTTACAAGCTTCTAATAATAGCTGCTGCTTTATATTGACCTTCTCTGTTTCTTCTTCAATTATTTGGGGRTTTATTGGTGAATACCTGACTAACATGGCCATACAGGTTATTGGGGTTAGAGTTAACAGCWTTCTGGGCACAGTTGTTAATTTGATTTACACTGCTGAGTCTGTTTAGAATAGCCAGGAAAATKATTGTGTCAGAAGCAACAAATAGCAAAAGGATTTAAACTTTCAGGTTTTGTGGATGTGTGTGTGTCTGTTCAAGCCTGCTAATAGTTAAAAACTTGATGGTGCCATGTGGCTGCTTCCAAAATTGCAGAATAGCCCGGAAAACCTATTTTTAGATACATAAATATATAAAAATGTGTATGTATATGTATAAAATCTGTGGAGAAGTCTTTATTTAGAAAACCACTTAACCAAAAAGCTCTTTAAGAGGCAAGTAGGAATGTATAAATTTGCAGTAAAACTTGGARTAAGGTGAAGGGGAGAGCTGGAGCTGAGGGCTTTATTTGCATGAATTTTTTAATTGGGATTGTGATGTGCTTGATAGCATATGATTCCATATTTGGCTGTGGGGGTTGGAAGTRCATGATCTTAAAGGTGTCTTTCAACCCTTTCATTTCAACTTTTCATTCTGGGATCCTATGAATAATATTGAAGAAAATGTCCAGCATACATTGCAAGGATAACTCTACCCTTTGCCTTGAAAAATCGCAGTACATGTGGTATTTAACTAAAAAAAATGTACTTTTTCCATCTAAATCTATACTCATTTCATATATTATGCCCATGAAATTTGAGTAAGTGCTCCAGGAAAATTCAATAACGTACAGCTTCCTTCCAATATTGAAAGAAGGAAGAGTTCCCCAAAAATCTGCTTCATCACTGRTGGAAGGAGTGGGGTGATAAATCATCAATAGTGAATGTGATCAGTACTGAAATTAAGTAAATTAAGTAAAAATCTGGAGTGCTTTTGTCACATCTTCAGTTGTGGATCCAACCTGTGCACCTCTGTCTGTGCTCTGTAAAAAATTAAAAATAAGTTTGTGCTTCTGTAATGCACCCTTATCCCAGGGTGGTTCTATAGCATAGCAACATCCTCTTTTTAGGGGAAATTTACAGTTTCAGATTAGGGATCTAAGTGCAATTCTGACCTTTTCCATTGACAGCATCATGTTATGCTGGGTGGTGCACTTGTAAATAAAGATTTCTAGTTGTGTTGGAAATAGGCTGTTTTAAGGCAAAAAAAAAAAGGAAACGGATGGCTTATAATTGACAGAAATTTTAGCAATTCTGAGTGTTTCTGGTAGGATGATGGATGGTGTCTTGTTCAGGCAGGAGGCTTGGATGCATGATGTAAGGATTCTGATTTAAAATCCACACTACAGTGTTTCTGCAGAGCTGTTTTAAAAACTGAATGGGAGAAGAGGGAGAGCAGGGTTGGGTTTTTTTTGTGGGTTGGTTTTTGTTTGGTTTTTTTTTTTTCATGAAGCAGCCTTGCCATGTAAAAAGAGCTGTAAGAGGAAATCCTGTYCCATTCATGCTGTCCTTTATGAATTTCTGTCTGAGTCACTTCCTTCTTGTGCACTCAGTGGTTCCCTCCTTGGTCATGCAGTGATCTGGTACTTGGAGAATTTCTGCAAGCACTGTGGGAACATAAGGAGTTTTGAGTATTCTTACAATGTTTTCGCCTATTCCCTAGTAAAACTTTTTTTTTTCCTCTTGGCAAATGAGATGAAAAAAGGTTTTAAGCTTTACTGAGGTCTGAAGAGCCTGAGATAGCAAAAACTAAAACACTTCAGCTTGGTGAAAGTGGGAAGCAGGCAATGGATTTGTGGAGTGCATCCTGTGTGGGAGCTGGGAGAACAAACAGACCCACCCTGGGCAGGAGCAGCTCTGAGCTGGCATATGCACCTTTATAAAAGTGTTCCTGAATATTTTTTTTGTTCTAATTTAAGAAGATTTGGTCTTAAACAGCATCAGAACAGGGCCCATATAGCCCAGCAGTGTGATGAAGATGATGCTGGTGGGGGAGCCTGGAAGCCTGAGCACATCCCACACACCTCTCCTGGCTCCTCCACCAGCATCCAGACCTGCCAGGCACCAGGGAGGGTCAAGCCCTGCCCATTCTTTGGGTGCTCACTTGCTCACCTCTTGTCTGTGAACTTGTCTAGCTCAGTTTTGAGAASCAGATTTGCTTTCAAGGTGAGGAATGCTGACTTGGTGTGCACTTGCCTGCTCCGAGCAGCTGCTTTCTGTGCTTTACACGTGGAGAAGGGAGGAAAAAACTAAAAAATCAAACTAATTAATTTACAATTAATTTACAATTAATTTACAATTTACAATTAACATCAACTAATTAACAATTAAAATCAACTAATAGTTCAGAGAGTTGTTGTAGGATATTGATAGATCCTAAACTTCTGTAGAACCGTTGAGTACAACCATAAACTTCTGTAGAACCATTGTATGAGTACAACCAGCTTAAAAACTCAGATGTTGCTTTGCTCTTGTGAAGGTTTTGTAAATCTGATTTTGTGCACTGAAGTAGCCTCCAGCTATTCCCAAAGGTGAAAATCACAGCTTCAAACTCCTGCCTGCAYTGCTGATGGAAATTTCTCAGGAGATGTGCCTAGCTCTGTGTGCTCATTTCTKTGAGGGAAATGAGTTGGGAATACATGGAAAATGGGTTTGGCAAGAGGAATTTCTGACAATGGTGATTTTATTTTGAAAACGTTTTAAAATAAGTGCTTAAATCATCAAAGCAGAAGTTCTGAGGTGAAGAAATACCCCCAGGTGCCCTTGGGTGGTGTGGGATGTGCTCTGCAAGCTGCTAAGAAGTGATGCAGGGTGGGTGACGTCTGAAAAACCAGAGCTGAGCATTCTTGGTGTAGCCCCATCCTGTTCTCTTTGAATCTTCTGTGTAACATTTAAATATACTTAGGAAAAACGTAGGTTTTTTTCTATTTTTATTTAACTGTATCAAGTTGTTGTTGTTTTAATCCAGAGCCTGTGAATTAAAGGGAAATTGAAAGAGCTGTGATTCAGTGCAGACAGGAACCAGGCGAAGTTCCTCTTCTTACTCATTCTAGATCCTGTCAATTCTTTTCTATTTTGGTCCTGAATCCATTTTGCTTATTGAGTCATACATTTATCTGTGCCCGTATATCCTATAGATTTAAAAGCTTTAAAGAGTAGTTTCATCACTTTTGGTCCATGTAAGCAAAGAGGATGAGAAATACTAGCAATACATGTAAATTTTATGCTCTTTTAGCCAGAAATTGATGATTTGGTACATACTAATAGAGTTTTGTTTTATCAGTGTGGRCAAAATTGGTCATAGAGGTTTTTTTTCTGCTGCCATACAAAATTCCTCCCTCTTAATGCAGCTTCTCTGATGTCCCTAAATGTGTTTGCTTCTATAAAATAAGGAGTTTCAATAAGATTGTCTCCTGAAAACAACCTGTCAAAACTGACACACTGATTTTAATAATAACATGGAAAAAAACACTCTGAAGAGTA